TGCCGCTCCGCGCGGCCCCTCCTCCCCCGCCGCTCCCCCCGCGCGCGCCCGCGCAATGGTACAGCCTGCACTGCCGGAACTGTCGGAGCCGTTGCCCTGGAAACCGAGTTGGGCCGAGTCTCGCTTGGCGCCCCGGAGGTTTAACCCTGTAGGCGCCATTTGGGAGCAGCTGTCAGCAGAGCGCCTCCTGCCCTGCTGCTCTTCGCCCGCAGACCGCTCCGAGCCGCGCCTCCCTGGGCCCGCCCCACCGCTGCGCCTTCCCGTCCTCTTTGCTGCCGACGTCCGCACTGCCCCTTCCCTCACGTACCCCGACAGTCTCTGACCCTTACTTTACACCCTTTTCCCTTTATCATCCTAACAAGACTCTCCTCCCAGGAGCAGTACTCGGTAACCATCGCCCCGACCCTCCTTCTCTCTCCTTCTGTCCCTAATGCCTCTTAACACGTCCCTCGTTAGCACCCCCCCAGCCACCCCAGTGGGGCTGTGTCCTACGATTCCTGTCTCTCCAGTCTTGCGCCTTAAATCGGGGACACACTCGGTTGTGTCGGGTCCTCGTTCTAGAATTTTCTGGAATTATCCATCACCACTTCCTTCTAGCATCTTCTGGTTGTTTCCAGAAAGCGCTGTGAGTGTGTTTGCCTGAACGTTTCAGACGTCAAAACTTGCTTCCACTTCCGCACTCCGCCGCCGCGCCCTCGGGACCGCCGCCCGCCCTGTCTGAGGAGGGAGCGGCCACCCCTGAGCCTCGCTTTAGGATCTGTTTTCCTTCTCAGCCTCTTAGCCTGTGAATCGTACGGGCCAGTTGTACTGACAGTCAATGCATTTGTACGTGCTGGTACGAGTTTACGTTTTCAATAAAACAGAGTGACGGTTGGACAGGGCTTCAGGTGCTCCGGCAGACGTCCGTTGGTCTAGGGACCGTGTCGTGGAACCAGGGCGACGCTTCATTCTAGAACGTAGCTCCTGGGTCTTAAATGCCCACCCAGGCGGAAGATTTCACAGCTTCACTTTAACTGCCCCAAACCAAGAATTTTTGGATCAGAGAAAATGACGCTTTGTGTTTTTTGTTTATTCATAGGGCCACACATCTAGGTACAAGACAACCTGGTTTATCTATCAGGAAAGGCAAAAGGTTTCATCCATTTTCTGAGCACCTGAACAAGACTTTGAGTGGGTTCCATATTCAGTGTAGGAAATTGTTAACTTTCGGCCACTTCTCCTTTTCCCAGGCAAACAATACTGTGCCGAGTCCATACAGATGCACCGATAGGCATAATATACGTTTTAGATCCCCACCCGCACTTCCCCAAATCAGGAAATGCAGAGGCAGAAATTCTCACCAGTTTGTGGCCTCGCTGCACATGCATTATGTGAGATCCCACAGATTTTTATAATCTTCCTGAAATAATAGACTGTGCTGTTAGTCATCCAGGCGATTCCACATGTGCAGTGGCAATAAGTGTCACAACTCTAGAGTATACCTGGGCTTATACCCTTCTCCTGGGGGCAGGAGGGGGATATCTAGGCTTCTACTCAATCACTTCTGCCCAAACTTTTACCTTAAACTCCACATGAAAGTCACTTTTTTGTTGTTGTGTGGATGTTAGATGTGTTTGGGTTGATGTCAAGGTGTTAATCCAAAACACCTTTGTGTACCTTAATCCTACTTAACACAAAACAAAGTGCCAGGCCGTGTGTTTGTTGGGGGGATTTGCAGACAGGGGGACCTGATCTACAGAGAAGGAGTTTGGTAGTTTTCCTTCTCTAGAAGGCGGTTGTCTCAAGTCTGAAGAGTCATTCAGAGGTGCCTGCAAGCACTTACTGTAGAAGTTGGCCCCCTGATTCTAGCAAAACTTTTTCTTGAGTTGAACTCTAGAATCTTATTAATACAGAGCCTTTTATTTAAGACATTCAAGTATATGTTACAAGGATTTTCAGCAAGGAAATGTAACATCAAGAAGCATCTCAGAAAATAAACATTGGAGGGAAAAGGAAGTATGGCATTGAATGAGCATAGGTACTGTGTCTGGACACTGGGTGACATTTTATGGCATTGAGGAAATGACCCCTGTTTCTGGGTCTTGGCTTCCTTGTCTAACATTAGAGTGGTTTGAGTAAATAATCTTCGGGGATCTTTTCAATAGTCACACTCTGTGAGACCATGAGGCTGGAATGAGTCCTGGTATGAGTCTCCTTAAACCTGGGATTATATCTTGTTCCTAATGCAGGCTCGAGATTAAGAATATTTTCACATACAATGGCTCTCTTAAGGGTTTCAGTTTATGCCCAGGTTTGGGACACAAAATATATGCGAAGAGTATATATAGACAAGAGACTCTAATTGTCTGAAAAAGATGTATATCAATGTAGAAAATTCTGTGGATAGCTGTTCATATTTTAAAAACAAATTGAGGTTTAGATATATGATTCAACAAGTTGCAACCAGAAGACATTTTTTCCTGAGTGAACTATACATTTCTGTTTAGAAGTAGGAATGAAAGCCTTGTATAGGGAGTATCTCCAAAACCTTACCAAAAATTCTGAAGAAAACTAGGTTTTCAGATGGAGTGTGTTCTTCACCTGGGTGGGGCCTGGGAAAATTAAGAGGCCCAACCCTAATATCAGGGTTACTTCAGGATGCATACTTCCTTGTTCGGAGAGAGAAGATCTGGCAGGAAATATCAGAAGAGATCTGTAACTCTTAACTCCTCATTCAAGGAAAAAACAACAACAAAAAAATTGTGTGTGTGTGTGTGTGTGTGTGTGCGTGCTAGAATTTGGGCCACTAGATTTGGAGATGTATATATGGCCAAGATTCTAGCTTATTAGTTGGGTCAAAGGAGTTAAAATATTTGTGTCTGTTTTCCCTTAAATTAACTCTAATGTATCCATGGCACGATGCCTGCTGCGTAGTAGGTACTTCATTAATGTCATTGAACTGAAATGAATGAAATTAATAATATCAGTAATAATAACAATATCATTATGAAAGACTTCGTACATATCAAAACTTCTCCAAGAGTTCTGGGTGACCAATAGCAATGAATATCTGAGGTTTGTAAAATGCTGCCTTTCTATCTTAAAGATTTCTTGAGGGCAGTGTTCTCTCTGTTCCTAAGTATGATATTTCTAAGTAGGAGACTATCTTGAAGCACCCCTTGGTTAGAGTATTAGAGTTAAGAAAGGGTGAGGACTTGATTCACTGACTGCAAATAAAAGATTTAAGCAGAAACAACAAAACAACGTAACTCTATTAAAAAATGGGCAAAGGACTCTGTTGAATAGACATATCTCCAAAGAAGATACACAAACGGCCAGCACTGTACATCACTAATCACTAGGGAAATGCAAATCAAAACCAAAGTAAGATACCGGCTCACATCCATTAGGATGGCTACTGTTAATAAAACAGAAAATGATTAAGTATTGATGAGGATGTGGAGAAGGTAGAAGCCTGTTGTGCTCTTGGTGAGGATGTAAAATTGTGCAGACCCTGCAGAAAACAGTATGGCCGTTCCTCAAAAAATTAAAAATAGAATTACCGTATGATTCAGCAATTCCACTTCTGGGTATGTACCCAAAAGCACTGAAAGCAGGTCTCACTTGTGCACCTGTGTTCACAGCAGCTTTATTCACAATTCCAAAATGTGGAAGTAACCCAGATGTCCATTAACAGATGACTGGATAAACAAAATGTGTGTATACATAAAATGGAGCATTACTCAGCCTTAAAAAGGAAGGAAATTCTGACACATGCTACAACATGGATACACATTAAGGACATTGTGCTAAGTGAAACAAGCCAGTCATAAAAGGACAAATGATTCCAATGATATGATGTATCTAGTGTAGTCAAAATCACAGAAATGGAAAGTAAAATGATGGTTGCCAGGGGCTGGGGGTGGGAGTGGGGAGAGAGGAGTTGTGGTTTAATGGGTGTACAGTTTCAGTTTTATTAATGAAGAAATTCTGGAGATGGGTTCCACAATAATGTGAATATACCTAATACGAATGTTTAAGATGGTGAATTTTATGTTATGTGTATTTTAACAAAAT